TTACTCAACTCACCAGAAATGGAATCCTAGAACTTTAAAGGAGGAAGGAAAAGAATGTCAGGTTCACACATGTACATAGGAAAGTTTGAGGGGGAGGCATTAGAACATGAAAAAGAAATAAAGTTTACAGACTAGGACAATGGGTGTGGGTAGGAAAGAGGGAAGGTGAGGAGTAAGAGAGATTGACTAGGCTAAGGTTAACTGTCTAGGTTATCCCTGCTTCCGCTCCAGTCTACACAACCATCATGGGATTCCAGCAATGGTGGCCAACTGGCTCCGAACATCTAAAGCTACCCCCACCATCCATTCCTCATAGCACAGGCAGAATGATCTTTTAAAGTAAAAAACAATTTTCCCTGATTTTTCCCGTGAAGGACTGAATGTGTCTATTCTTCCAAAATTCATATATTGAAGCCCTAGCACCCAGTGTGATGGTATTTGGAGATGGGGCCTTTGGGAGGTGATTAGGATTGGATGAGGTCATAAGGATGAGCCTCTCATGATGGGATTAGTGCCCGTATAAGAAGAGACACCCATGAGCTTTCTCTCTCTCCCCCATCTCCCTTTCCCCTTCACCTTTTCTCCACCCCACCCCCCACAATGTGAGAAGGCAGCTGTCTAAAATTGATTGAATTCTCACCAGAAACCAACCATGCCAGCACCCTGGTATCATCAGACTTCTAGCCCCTAAACTAGGAGAAAATACCTATTGGTTAAGTCACCCAGTCTATGGTATTTTTTTATGGCAGCCCAAACAGACTAAGACATTTCCCATTATAGCTTCTTAAAGCACTGCATACCCTTCCTTCATAGGGATTATTACAGTTTAGAAGTAGAAATGGACATTCCTGATATTTGATTATTCACTAGACCATCAGCTTCAACAGAGAAGGAATTATATTTCTCTTTGCAAGTAAATGTTCAGTAACTATTTGTTGAATGAATGAATGAATGCTAAGACTGGCAATATGGAATTGTGAGATCAAATATGAGTTGAACGGACAAGTCAGTTTGGTTATCTTACCCCATGTAACCACACACACACACACACACACACACACACACAACTGTTTACAACCAAAAGTATATTCTAAAGGTATATTCTCTGGAAGGGGACACTAATAAATGAACAACCATTTATTAGTTTAGATAGAACAACCATTTATTAGTTTAGAATTAGAACAACCATTCTGCTGAGCACCTGGGTAGGTCTGGGAGTTAAAAGTTGCTTGGAGCAGAAGGAGAGAGGTAAAGAGCTGCTAAATCCCAACAAGTGAGAAAAATTTGCAGCTCCTATGGCCAATTTTTGGATGCAAAATATAGAAGGTAAGGAAGAAACAGGAGGGCCAAGCAAAAATGGTAGAAGACTAGCACTTTAGTCAAAGCAATGACTAGGTGACTTACTTCTTAATTCGAATGTCTGGATACTGTTCCATTTCACATTATTTGTGAATGCAAACTGCTTTTATCTCCTCCAACTGTCAATAAAGTCTGATACATACATAAATGTCATGTGTGAACAAGCTTCCTTCAGTGGGAGCGGGAAGGCTGGTGGCTAGGAAAATGAAGGCAGAGGCTCAGTACTGCCACCAGCCTCTGTGATGTGGAAAAGGGAGATCATGATGACTTCTGTGGGCTAATTCCCAAACCAAACTAATTCTGCTGAGGCAGAGACGTGGGGTCTGATGTCATCAAGAGATTGGCTCTAAGTCTCTTGGAAATTCTTAAAAGCTTTGGAGAGAAGATGGGACTTTTCACAATTTGTACAATCGGGTTTTGAGCCAATTCTTTCTAGATCTTAGGAAACGGTGAACTCAGTTGACCCCTACAAGGAAAAATTTCCACATCCCACAAACAATAAAACTCACAACTGAAGTTTAACGTGGTAGCAACCAGAAACCCAGCTTCCTGTGGCTCTTGAGAAAGTTCATCTTCACGCACCCAGGTAACCACCCCCACCCCCACACTGGGCAGAGGAACAGTTTAACTGGTCACTGTAGGGTCTGATTCAATCTTGGAGTTTTGTGAATTGCAGAGAATGACTGCAAAGAAGGATTATACGGGGACACATTACATAAATGCTTATATTCAACAATGAGAGAACTTTAAGGAAGTAGGAACAGGCAGTAAAATTGTACAGAAATAATTCCTGGAGGATGTGAGAAGTCCGAGGGCCTGATTCACTGAATAAAAGAAGGGATGGCCTCTCACTTTTTGATCGGGTGTGTAAAGAATGAGAACCTGAAACACAGGTTTGGCAGTGAAAGGGAGTTAGTAAAGAAAACTGATTGTGTTAGGAGAATCAACAGTCACTGGGGATAAAAAAGAACAGGAAATGGTTGACTTTCAGATTCTAGGCTTAGGTGACTAATGACAAACGTAGTAAAGCACTGGCCTTTGGCTGGTATCATACAAGTAGCATGTGTGAATGCATTTTTGTTTGTTCTACTTTTGCTAGGGAAATCCGATGGCCTAAACAAAACATAGAGAAGACTTCTACTGGACTGTCCAGGGTGACGCTGTGGAAGTTTGGCAATGCGCCATCAATAGCAGACAATTTGGTACCGAGGGTGGTTCCGGGTACTCTGAAACTTGCTCCTAGATACAAATTCCCAATTGCTCCCCAAGCTGGCAGATGCACATGTCCTTAAGCCTACTGTTGCTGTGCTTCCCCAGAACACAGTGTCCAAAGAAAATCAATCTGCCTTGCAGAAGGGCTTGTAACACTGCGTCATTTAAATAAAACCAGGATGAGGGGATAAATTTGTTCAAGCAGTATCTGGAAGCAAGGGTCTGTATAGAAGGAAGAGAGGTTTAGTCATTAAAAAACCCAAAGAAGACTCTTGAATCACAAAGTCCTTACTCTGTTCCCACTAGGGGAAAACAGCTTCCCTGTCCATGAAATGTTTCCAATCAGAATCAAAAGTTCCAATGCCAGAGGATATCTGACATTACTGACTAAAGACTACCCTCTAGTGGCCCTTTCCAAGAACTACAAAAACTGGCAAAGGGGAGACCTCTGTTTAAGAAATGTGATAAAGAAAATGCAATAAAAAATAATGAAACAACTGATCATTCTATGCAGTAAATGCAGATACAGTGGAAAGCATGACTGTTCTTAACTACTCTTATGATCTACATGAGGTTCCAGATATCCCAACGGCATGTTTAGAGTTTTGCTGTTTACAATCTAAATATAGCACGGGTGTAGGGACGTTTCTAACAATTGACTGTAAAAAAAATCCTTTATAAAAGTGATGAAAATACAATACGTATGAGAACTGCTGTTTTTCTTCACTATACTTCATAGCTTTCTCAAGCAGCCACTCTATAGGTAGCTGGGGTAGCTGGGATAGAAGAATCAATTCAGAGTCAAAATAATTGGGTGGTTCCCAAACTTCAGGCTATTTTGCCCTAGGTTATCCATTTAATATCTCTGAGACTCACTTTGAAAAGATATGTAATATGTAAATTGTTCTTCCAATCTCCCTGGGTTCAGGGGAAAATGTAACAAAATGTATAGAAAAGTACTTTGTAAATTCTCAATAAATAAAGCTTCTAGTAGTCTTTTTTTTTTTTTTTTAAGATTTTATTTATTTATCTGACAGATAGAGACACAGCGAGAGAGGGAACACAAGCAGGGGGAGTGGGAGAGGGAGAAGCAGGCCTCCCGTGGAGCAGGGAGCCCGATGTGGGACTCGATGTGGGACTCGATCCCAGGACCCTGGGATCACGACCTGAGCGGAAGGCAGACGCTTAACGACTGAGCCACCCAGGCACCCCAAAGCTTCTAGTAGTCTTAAAACCTCTAGGCGAGGATGATGAGGTTGATGAAACTGGTAATTGAGGGACTACTAAAATTTGTTTTTAAGTTTTTTAAAAAATCAAAAATTTAGAAACCCATCTGTTCTAAAATTGTCAACTAACCATGTTTGAGGAGGGTTGAGGAATTCAATTCCCAAGTTTATCCTGCAAATTCATATGCTGAATCAATGACTAAACTCAGAACAACTGTCATATCTTGTGTCCTGAAGTTTATCACTCTAGAAATCCTATTACTTTGTTAATATTTTTTCTCAGCAGAATGATGGTTCTAAATTATTAAAATAGCTATCAATAAATCATAACTAAATTTCAATACATGCTTAATTATTCTGAGATACAAGGGCCCAGTCTTAACAAAAAATCAAAGAGAAGTGAGCCAACAGATTGGACATAAGGGCGCCTGGGTGGGCTCAGTTGGTTAAGCGACTGCCTTCGGCTCAGGTCATGATCCTGGAGTCCTGGGATCGAGTCCCGCATAGGGCTCCCTGCTCGGCAGGGAGTCTGCTTCTCCCTCTGACCCTCCCCCCTCTCATGCTCTCTCTCAAAAAAAAAAAAAAAAAAACAGATTGGACATACTGATACCATCCTTATTTTCGAGAAAGAGCTGTTCCTAGGTTCACTCTAGGGATGTCTTTCATCTGGTGATATCTATCTACTAACTTCTGGCATGGGGTAGAAATGAACGGACTCTTTCCATAATATCTAGTAGATCAGAAAACGATCAGTTTCTAAACAGATTACATTTAAGCTATTTCCAAATAACTTCACTTGACTGAAATCAGTCTGTTTGACTTTTCAAACCAGTGGGATAGTAGACACAGGGCCATTACATTTAGAAGGACATGGCATTGTGATGAATCTTAGTATTACAGCAGTACTTTTGTCTTTATGTCTAATTGTTATATAATGGGAAAACGTTCCTGGAAATTAGAGAACTGTTTCAAAACGAATCATTTACTCCTAACAACCCTGTTCTAGTCATTAATTACAAGAACAACAAACTCTTTCCTGCCCAGTCCTTATGGACTTGCTAACTTGAGTCTGGAAATGCAGGACACAACAGAATTTATTATTTTTCATCTCTACCTTAGAGTGCACTTATCCAAGACTCAAAAATGAATTTAATGCTTTGTGCAACATGTAAATAGCAGTTTGTTATATTTTCTTCTTTACAGAAGCAAAATTCAAAAGGAAAGCATCCACAAGAGGCACATAAATAAAGCAAGGATAGGCGTTTCTGAAAATAACCCTGTGGAAAAAATGTGGCTTCTCTTCAAACTCATAAAGAGAACAAGGCACTTGAGAAGTTCTAAAACTTTTCTATGTATTAGGCTCACCTGGAAGTTTTGACAACGTCTACGTCCAGACCAAAGCCCCCATCAGTTAAAAGAACGACTGGGGATTGGGACTCATGCATCAATATTTGTTAAAGCTCTCTAGGAGATGCCAGTGGCAGCCAAGTCTGAGAAACACTTGAAAAACACGTAGCTGACAGCATGAAAAGTAAGTAATGGTTCTTTTTTTTTTTTTTTTTTTAAAGACTGGTCATGATAGGATCACCAATTGCTGTTAATCACCTCACTACTCTTACAATAGCAAGACGCAAGCTTCGTGTGATAGGTATTTAAGCAGGTGAACAAAGCACATGCAGGTAAGAAGCAGGGGTGATAGGGACTCAATCAAAGGGCCAGCAGAAAATACAACAGATGAGTTCTGCAGTGCATGCAGGACTCCTTGCTAGGGACTGCAGGGAGAGACAAGGGGCTGGTTCGATGTCTTTCAAGTGGTGACAAATACTTGGGGCCACCAGTGTGCCAGTAAAGCAAGAAGAAATGAACTATGTGTTTTCCAATGAACGATGAGCAGAGCTGCCTTGTAAGTCACGGCAAGATAATACGTATTAATGATTCAAGAAGACAAACGTGGACAAAACTAAAATCCTAACGCGTTCATTCCAGGGACTCTAAAGAAACAAATGCATGTTGGGGAGAACCTCACCAGGGGGACACAGGAAAGGAACAGAAACATAACTTTATTTGCAGGCTCTAAGGCAGAGGTTCTCAAAACGCTGCCTCCAAGCCTGTGGCATCAGCATCAGCTGGGAGCTCGTGAAACAGGCACACGGTCGGACCCCACCCCAGACCCACTAAATCAGAAGCCTGGGGAGGGGGACCAGCAATGAGCTTTTACCAACACTTGAGACGAGTCCGATGCACAATGAAGTTGGAGTTGGAGAATAAAATTCTCTCTAGGGTCTGGGATGTACTTGGAATGATATCATCTAAAACTGACCATCATATCATCTACATTTACTGAAGTAGAGACATTATAATGGTACAGGGTGATGGGTCAACTGATCCTTCAACACTGACAAAATTGTTTTTGCTGGGAACCCCTCAAAAAGCCAGCAATCTGGGTTGAGGTCTTAGAATACAGAAAACTAGTTATTGAAAATACACCAGCACTGAAACGGCAGCAGTGCAATTTGGGGGACTGCAGGTACTAAGAAACATGGATAAACTTACACTTTGTATAAGGCTTGTAATATTTTAGATATCTGTCACGACCGTCTCCTCTCTTCTTTTTAATCCTTAGTTCTTTATTTCAACTTTTTAAAAAAATAGAAACATCATGCAACCACAAGAATGAACCAACTGTAACTACACGCAACAACATGGCTAGATCTTAAACACATAATGTTGACCTAAAGAAGCCAGACACAGGAGTATGCAGAGCATGAGTGCATCTACATAAAGCTTAAAAATGGGGGGGACCCTATTTTTTTAGTATTAGAAGTCTGATAGTGAGTATCTGGGGAGTTAGTAACCAGAAGGAGACTCCAAGGTTTCTGGGGTACTAACAACATTCTGTTTCTTGATCTGGGTGCTAGTGACCTCAGTGAGATCACCTTATGAAAAATCACTGATCTCTACACATATTTGTATCTATGGTTACTTCGATACAAAGTTTAAAAATGTAAGAATAGGCGGCGCCTGGGTGGCTCAGTCGGTTAAGCGTCTGCCTTCTGCTCAGGTCATGATCCCAGGGTCCTGGGATCGAGCCCCGCATCGGGCTCCCTGCTCGGCGGGAAGCCTGCTTCTCCCTCTCCCACTCCCCCTGCTTGTGTTCCTGCTCTCGCTATCTCTCTCTCTCTCTTTCAAATAAATAAAATCTTTAAAAAATATAAAAAATAAAAAATAAATTAAAATGTAAGAATAGGATTAATGCTAGGTTAGAATTTTAAGAAGTTAGGATACCTTCACTTCCCTTTAGCATTTAAAGACATGTTGGATGTTGGGGTGGTGGTGGGGAAGTCAGTGGCTCTTCATCCACTGCAGTGAACAAAGCTGGAGCCCTTGGAATCCAAATCTCCAAAAGAAGACATGGGGATGATCAGATGCCAATGATGCTGGGCAGTTCACTCTGGCCTCGACGTGCACTAAGTCAGGACAAGACAAATCTGGAGAGTAGATAAGGTTTTCAACAGTGCCATAAATAACCATCTGGTGGTCTATACCTGCGAGCATGTTTGTTCCCCAGGTCTGTCTGGGTCACACTTCTATCGAGTCACTGCCACCATGTCCAGCTGTGGCCCAGATCCTGACTTAATGCTTCCTTGGCCCTGTCCTCCACTTTCTCCCCACTGCTCTTCTCCTCCTTCTTTTCTCCTTCCTTCTCCTCAAAACCTACCTGTTCTCCACTTTATCTCAGAAACGTTGATATTAGCAGTTCATTAAAAAAACTGGTAGTCCTCAACCCTGGTTGCATGTTAGTGTCCTAAAAACACTGATATCTGGGCAACTGTGGACCAATTACACAGGAATCTATGGAGATGTCCCCACCATGGGTACTTTTATGAGCTCCCTCAGTGATACTAAAGTCAGAGTTGAGAAGCTCTAAGCTGGCTTACGGAGCTGACAGAACATCATTTATGTGGCTCTCCTCCCTACAGCCCCTATCTGGGTTTTCCCGTAGCCTGCAGCTTAAACAAAGAGTGACTAACCCTACATATTGTCCTCAGGTCCATGGAGCACAGGTTCCCTGCCCTGGGCTTTGGCTGCACAAAGCTGACCTGCTCTACCTGGCTACAGTCCCAGACTTCCCAGACACAACCTGGGCCTTCCTCTGGGGACTTGGTTCATACTGCAGCAACTCTGCCACAGATGTCCCCACTCACCGTAAGGAATGCCTGCCAAAAACAATAATTTTTTAAACAAATAAGGTTTTAAGGCATCTACTAAAGAGCTAATGGTGTGGTCATTGTCCTAATGGGTTTTTAATGATGTGTAAAGTTCTCAGCTGATAGTCAACAAGATGTAAAGTTTTATAGAAGTATTTCATTGGTTTGGAATTATATCTTCTTTTGACTCATACTTATTGTTTCTGTAATCTCAAACTCAAGAGTCTTGATATGAGAAAGATGTCTACTAAAATTTTTACTTTCTTTTTAGATGCTGCTTGGAGTCGGGGGAGACAGTGTTTTTCCTTGATTTTATTTTGGGAAATGTTATGAAGGTGGGAGGGGGGATAAGCAAAGCAGGGGTTTCCCACCTCAGTTGCCCTGACTGTCCCAGGTGCCTCTGGAGTGATACTGCCCCAATGGCAACCAACAAGTCCTTTCTTGCCAGGACTGCGAGATCTATGCTCCATGGCACTGGGGCCTAAGACCAGGGGTCAAGATCTGAGTCACCTGCATTCAGTACCAACCTTAGACCAGGCAAAAAGAGGCCTAGCCCTCAGAGCCTTAAAAGGTGCCTGCTCTGTCCCTTCTCCAGCCCTGCTCCTTCCCTGGGAGGAAGCATCTGTGGGACCTGGACATATACCCACACCCTCCGTTTACAGTGACCCTGTAATCTGAGGTCTTGGAATTGCCTACTAAGTGGCCCAAGGCAGCCAACAGGGCCCATGTGGTTCCATTCCCCCATCTGCCCTCTAGGGGGCAGACATGTCACCCGTCAGCCTGAGAAGCAGTGGCTTGGGGGTGAAGGTGAAGGGTATTTGCTTGGAACTTAGGCATGTGTACTGGCATGTCTCCACACATGCACAGGACTGGCTCATGGTTCCAGATGGAGACAGATGGAAAGAGAAGAGTGGGTGAGCCACAGATCTTTCCTCAGCACTGAGACTTAAAAATGCTAAATTTGAACTTAGCCTTCCAAGCTATCACAGAGGCAAATTTGTCAAAGCAGGAGGATAAACCTTTGACACTGAGGTAGGGGATAGAACCTAAACATTAAGGTTCAGCATTTGAACTTAACCTTCCCGGTCATAAAATAGGCTTATTTGTCAAGAAAGGAGGTGTGAGCATCCTTAATAGTCTGTTAGTGTGATTTAAAATTTTTAAATATTTAGATGTGTGGTATGTAGTCTTCCCTCTGTATTCTTATTTCACAATCACAAATTTCAAAAGTAGCTCTGCTCCAAGGCCTTACCCTGGCTAGACCTGCCAAACCAAAATGTCTCGGGTTTGGCTGGTGAGTTTGAAACCTAAGTTCCTCTGATGAGGTGCACCCACAACTCCTTTGCCAACCACCACCCTAGACCCTCTTCTCCTTTTCAGGTTTTACACTAAGTCCTTGTGCTAACAAAGCAGTGGTAATTCACGTGCAAGCAGTGACAGCAGATAAAGGATTACAGATTTTACTGGAAAGTGAGGCACATACCAAGTCCAACTCTGTTAGGAGACAGGCTTACTGAGCCCCAAGGCCTGTGGTTTCCAGTCTGATTTTTCTCCATGCAAAGTCAAGCTGTGGGAGAACCATGACAGCCCTCCCAACAGCCACTCCGAGTTCAGACCATTTCCCTTCACCAATACAATTCTTAGTTTTCAGAGCGGCTGTTCTTGCCTACAGGTTCCTGAATCTCGTTCTCTGACCTAATGTCTATTTTCCTCCCCTAACTGGCTCTACTCCTCAATGACTGGAATTTTTGTTTCACCATACAACTCTCTCACCCAGAGGCGTGTGACCCTTCTTGGCAGGTGAGAAACACTTCTTGTTTGCACGGAGCCTGTAAATACTCTGTCAGCACATTAGGATCACCTGGGGAGCCTTAAAAAATTCCCAAGCCTGGGCCCCATTCCAAACAATTAAATCCTGATCTGACTATGATGGATGATGTATGTGTGTGACAAAATTACAGGGAACAGGTAAGTTTTCAAAATTATGCCCACACATCAAAACTGTCTTAGAACCCTTTCGCTACAAATACCCAGAGACTTTGGCCATTCCTCTAGTATTTTTTTGGCATTAAGCAAACTCTGCCCATTTCATTAATGCCTGCAAATGCTGACCACCAGATTTTGACATTCTACCAAAATCCACTCCAAAGACTTCTGTGACGATGCTTATGGCCAAGGATAGGTAGCACCAACGTGACCTTTCAAAGCTTTAAATGGAGGCTGAATGTAGTTCAACCCCCAAGGCCTTCTTGGTTAGCAGAGTATTAGGAGAGTACTCTTTGGGGGGAGGGGGAGGAGCACTATTACAATACATTCTAGAGACATATCCAGTCCACACTATAATTTCAAAACTTAATGTGTACATGTAATTCATGGAAGACAAAAAGTTGTACTTGAAATTCAAATACAGTGACTTAGTAGAAAGTTGGCTATTACCAATGACACCATTCTCCCCCAATTAACAAGGAAGAGGGGCTGAGATGGTATCAGTTAGATACTGTCCAAGAGATTCCTATTCCAGAGACTTCATATCAAGCACCGTAATTTTCAAAATTAGTAAGGAAAATGCACATGTAAAATAAGCCAAACCAAGTGATACAGATCCATGAAGTTGGGATTTAAAAGTCTTTATTATTTCTAAGCAATAAAAAAAAAATCCATGTAGCTAATTATGTAAGAACTATTAAATCTGACCCTCCGATTTTTAATTGTTGGAGCAATTTTCAAGTATAAATTTCATAGTAAAGAAGAAAAATAAAGAGAATGGAGATAATAAAGAGAGTAAGAAATAAAATAAAATCAAGAGAATGGAGATAGTACCACAATAAACCATACCTCTTGTCAAATTTACCCTTTGTAACTTCTATTTTCTCAAATTCACCAGAAAGGAGTACTTTTAGGATATAGTATTACCTGCCTTTATTATAACAGTGTGCTTAAGAGGTTGAACATGTATCTCAGAGGTATATCTCCACACTGTGCAGATGGGGCTTATGCTGGATTTTACATCAAGACCAATTTTAGTCATTCAACTATCGACAAGAAATACACTTTTCTCCCCCACTAAGGAAGGAACAAAATTCAGTTCTACCAAGAGGACTTCTTCGTACAACTCTGTTCCACCTCAGACTTAGTTTTAGAGTGAGAGAACTGGGTTTAGTACTTCTTTTATTTTTTTTAAGATTTTATTTATTTTTTGACAGAGAGAGAGTGAGAGAGGGAACACAAGCAGGGGGATTGGGAGCCCGATGTGGGACTCCATCCAAGGACCCTGGGACCATGACCTGAGCCGAAGGCAGACGCTTAACGACTAAGCCACCCAGGCGCCCCATAGTATTTCCTTTAAATTGTTAATCTGTGTCCTGGGGGTCTGTGGGCCCCTTTCTGCCTAGAGGGCATATGGAAACTCCTTGATTGTGCTAGTGTATTACTTATTTTGACAAGGATAGTTGACACCAGAGACAATGATACATACTGAATAAACATTGTAAACTGCTTGGAAGTGGAAGGAGAGAAAAAGGCTGCCCAGAAGTCATGTGGATCCTTAGGTGATTACTGTGCTTTAGAAACCAAAAGATAGGGGCGCCTAGGTGGCTCAGATGGTTAAGCGTCTGCCTTCTGCTCAGGTCATGATTCCAGGGTCCTGGGGTCAAGCCCTGCATCAGGCTCCTGGCTCAGCGGGGAGCCTGCTTCTCCTTCTCCCTCTGCCTCTCTCCCTGCTCATGCTCTCTCTCTCTCTGTATCTCTGTGTCTCAAATGAATAAATAAAATCTTTTTTTTTTTTTTTTTAAAGAAAGAAACCGAAAGATAATGTCAATTCCATGGCCTGGTTAAGGCCGGTTCAAAACCACCCTTTTCCACATGGCTGCTGAGCAATCCTCTCAGTGGCCAGAAGGTGGTGCTCCCTTCTTAGAAATATCAAAACGTAAGGTTGGCGAACCCCAGCTCCATGAAGAACCAGAACGAGTCTAACATAAAAACGTCTTTCTATTAATAAGATCAGTGGATTTTGAGAATTAGACATTTACCCATTAAGTGCATGAGCAGTGGTGTTCACAAAGGTAGACAGTTGCTGACATTCATAAAATGGGATACAGAACAGAAAGATTTCCTGCGTATTTTCTTATTTGAATTTATTTCCTTAGGCACTACAAGGTAATTAACATATCCTGATTTCTCCTTCGTGTGTTAAGTGCCACACCAAATTAAAAATGATGACTCCTTTCTACCTGGAACTTGTAATGAAAAGGCAGCTCAGCAGAGACTGAAAACCTCTGGGGCACCTCCGCAGTCTGGCTTAGCTCTTCAAGTCAGTAGACCAGGCTGTCACGCCCACGCCTTGCGTGCCAGATCACCAATCCCCCCCTTCCCTGTCTGCCCCTCAGGGTCACTACAGTCTCAGACCATCTGGTCTGCAGAGCCTCCAGCCTTCTGGCCATCTCCCTCCTTCTTCTTTATTCCCATCAGCTTTCCTGTCTCATTTGAAGAATAAAATAATGAGAATTTAAATGTTTATTTGCACTTTAAAAAAACAGTGCATTTTTCATTTGTATACGCTTGTGGGTATGGGCAACAGTGGAAAAATCAAGAATGATTTTGGTGTTTACTGACCTTGAACAAATAAGATAGACAGACATATCCTGAGCAAAAGTAAACGGACTCACTGTTCATGTGGCCTCTCTCCCTGAATACACAACGAGACAGAAATTGATGTGAGAAAGAATTCGAAGATGGGGGTAAAGGGGCTTAAAATAGAGGCTGCAGAATGTGCAGTGAAGCTGGAGGCCTGGGGACAGGGAATCAAGAAGAAAGAAGAGAGAAGGAAAGTGAAAGAGGCAGGGGGAACTGAAAGCCAGGGAAATGTGAATCTTGTCCAGAATGTCCTGAAAACGTTGAACTGTCAGATAGAACAAATGATGTGGACAACATCTATGCAAAGAAGCATGGTTTCCCCTGCAGAATTTTCAATAGATTAGAAAGCCTCCACAACTTTCATCCTTTCCACGTTCTCTCCTCCCTAGTTAGCAACCAACCCACTTTTGTTCTTTTTGTTCAGCCACTTCTGATCAGTTGATTTCTGCTGGCGCATCACACACCCCAAATGCGTAAACCTACGGTAGACTCATTGTGTCTCACTTCAGCTGTGTCCTCAGGAGTAACTGTAATAACCCACAGAGAATTCTCTCACATTATCACAGGGGAGGTTTCAAAACTCACTTTTTTTAAGCATTCTGACATGACTAGACCTGTACCCTCTCCATTAGATGAATCTGCAACCTACTTTCCTGTCCTCAGCCACTCTCCGTGAGCTCAGATTTCCAGGGAGCAGTCATCCCCAGCCCTTCCTCCCTCCAAAATGAGTCTGCTCTTATCTCAGGGGAACCTCCCATCCAGCTGTGAGAGGCCACAGAACAGAGTAAAAACTGTGTGAACTTGTGACTCAGCAGGTTTGGGTTTGAATTTCGATGCTTCAACTACCTGATTATGGGTCCCTGCACAAGAGACACAATTTTACCAAGACTCTGTTTTCTCAACCGTAAACTTTGCTGTCATAGACAACTTCTCTGCAGTGTTTTTGGGATTGCTGATGTGTTAATTGTGAATGCACTTTCCACACTACTTAGCAATATTGTAAACTCAATCAGATCCCTACCTGTTGACTTTAAAATCAAATAAGTCTAAGCCCAGAAAGTACACTACCTTTCCCAAGTCACCAGGATTGGGATGAGGGTGAGGAGAGTGACCTAGGCTGGGCATGATCTGCCGCCTCACATTTTCCAGCATCCCACCCCTACCCCCTCCTGTGATAGTACCGTTTCCTTCTCATTTGTGGCTCCTTACCTTCTCCTGAGTCCAAGTACAAAGCTTCCCCAGGATTCCATCCTTGGCCTTCTCTTCTCCCCCTGCATACCCATTCTTGGACGATCCTCTGCACTGTGACCATTTCTGGCCTTGGCGATGAATGTGAAATGTATGCCTCCAGCCCTGAAACATGTTTCCTCTCCTTCCTGAGTGATACCAAGATGTATCTGAGGATGGGTTATAACCCTGTTTATAAATTCACAGACTTAATTTCAAGACTTTAGGAGACCCTCTAATTTAATAAGTAAAAGGCATTTTTTTAAAGAATCTAGTTTATAAAGAAAAGCATTCCTGCTGACAATGGCATATAGTTTTCCGTTACCCTCAGCCTGAAGCACAAGCTGTTAATATTTTGCTGACTTCTTCGTAGCAGCCCCAAGTGGCTCCCTCTGGCAAAAATACATGCAGTAAAAAGAGGTCAAAGGGCAAGCAGTGATTCTGGCTGTAGGGAAGGAAAACCACGTCCCAGATTTCTGCCAGGTCAGCCTTCTACATTCCATTTAAATTAGGACACAAAGTAATATTACCAAATTCGAATGCCGAAAGGCCTGAGGATCTCCTCCACACCTGTGAGGTTTGCTGCTAAGATTTTCTCTTCTTTGTTTCCAAGCACATAATCTCCATATAGAAGTGATGACTTTCTGGACATTTGCTTCTTGCCCAACGCCTGTCTCCTTGGGCGCTCAGTTGCTCTTACTGTTAAAGAAAACTGTCATTCTTGTCTTCCTAAGAACCATCAGAGAGTTTTGGCAAAGTTTGCTAAGCAAGTCAGCTTTGCATTTTTTCAAGCCTCCCATACAGTAATGCCACCAACAAGTGTTGTTGTCTTTGTCATACAGCTCTGAGGCACTGACTCCTCCCATAAGACTGGCAAGGTGTATGTCTGTGTGTAGAGACTATCTATGATAATGATTACCCATCATTATTAACTTGAATGTTTTGCTCCCCAACTAATTTCCTTTTGCTATCCATCTTGCACATGCATGTGTACACACGTGTGCACGCACACACACACGCACACACACAAATGGATGCACCTGTCATTGGTTACTTTTTGCCCAGGGAATGAAAACCAATCTTTTTTTTTTTTTTTTAAAGATTTTATTTATTTATTTGACAGAGAGAGACACAGCGAGAGAGGGAACACAAGCAGGGGGAGTGGGAGAGGGAGAAGCAGGCTTCCCGCCGAGCAGGGAGCCCGATGCGGGGCTCGATCCCAGGACCCTGGGATCATGACCTGAGCTGAAGGCAGTCGCTTAACCGACTGAGCCACCCAGGCGCCCCGAAAACCAATCTTAATAAGAATTCATAAGGTATATTTATGGCTGTGAACAGAAAAATATGAAAAGAATTCCTAAGAAAATAAGAAATTTTTTTCAAGTCTTCCAGCTTTCCTTTTTCCAGACAATAGCAAGAACATTAGACTAAAGAGTCTGCCAGGGAGAAAACCCTGTACTCACAAAGGCAATCTGCAAAAACTATGGGCCTGTTGAAGGAAACTCTTCAATAAAGTAAAACTGCAGGTCTTTCGAGTTAGCGAGGGCTTGGCACATCACTGTCTGGGCAGGGTGGTCTGTTCTCCTAGTCTTAAACCAAACCCTAGTTACTTCTCTGTATGGCTGCAGCCACCCTCTTAGCCTCAAGGTGGCAGTGTCGGCCCCTTCATGTAGGTATGGCACAGCTGAAATACTTAAAAATCAACTCAAAAATCTGAAACAGAACAAAATGGAAAAATAACTCAAAATAACATTATTCTGGCCCAAAATTAATATAA